TGGTCTGTAGTCACAGTAATCCTACAGCCCGATTCTAAGATTAAAAAACAAAAAGTCTGGGCCCAAGTTCTTTGAAGTCCTGTTGTGGCACTGTATGATAAGTATTGGCCTGCTAAACACAAGTTCAAAGTCACCAGTTGCTCCTTGGAAATCATATAGGGTCACTATGAGTTGGAACCAACTCGATGGCACATAACAAGTTCTTGGCATAGTGTACCTTTCCACCTCCTTCATTCCTCTTTGACCGGGCTTTGTATTGCTCTTGCTATTTGTTCTGTCTACTCCTTCCTTCTTCTTTGGGTTTCTGGGCTCATGTTTTGCTATCTCATGCTGTCTGTGTCCTATCTCAAAGGTATCGTTGTTCTGTGCCGTGGAGTCGGTTCCGACTCATAGCGACCCTGTACAGAGTTTCCGAGGCTGTAAATCTTTACGGGTGCATAAAGCCTCGTCTTTCTCCTGCGGAACACCTGGTAGTTTCAAACTGCTGACCCTAAGGTTGGCAGCCTGATTAATAACCACTAGCAGTGGAGATGTAGAGCACAGTGTGTTCTGAGGTCACTGTCACCATGCTTGGAATCTCTGTTAGAAAACTGTGTGCCTCCTGTTAGGGTTCATGGTCTAGGATCTACCTTAACCTATCTGCTGTCTACTCTTCCTAGAAGTTATATAGAATTGGGTCAGTACCCTTAGCAACTGCTGCTTCTCAGTGGATAGACTGATTCTATGTACCGACCACTGCTAACCTATTAGACATAGTCTACGTTGATCTCTCTTTTTCTGACAAAAGGTTATATCATTCATAATACAAAGATTTAATCAAGTCTTGAAGCATACATTTTATTAACCCCCTTTCTCCATAAGACACATTATTTCTTCCCAAAAGGATTTTTATTTTTTAAATTTTTAAAATGAATTTGAAGAATTCATGAAAAATCATGCATGGCATCTGAAGTCCTATTTTTCTGGAGATGAACACACTCAGTTTCTTCCATATCTTTTCACCCTATGTAATGACCAGATTCTTTATACTTTTTGGATATTCTCCTATGGATTTATCTGGTGTCAGTGGTTTTGGCTACTGAGAGGGTTAAATGTAGAGAGATTAGTTAAGAAGGGGCAGAGTTGGTGAATAATTTTTAGCAAGGTCAGAGAATATGTGGATGACATTACATGACATTGGTCTTGGTTTAGCATTGTACCTATAAATTCTGAGTAAATGTATCAGAGACATTTGTCATTTTGTCCAGCCTTGTTTTGTTGTTGCTCATAAAAACTCCACCCTTCCTTCCTCTTATGGTTCCACCTATTTCACTTAAGGTCTTCTGTGATAATGTTCTATATCCTGCTTCTGGGGATACCTTCTCCTTCATTTTATCTAGATCAGTTCTTTGTGGGTCATCAAACCATATGGTTCCATTCCCCATAACAGAAAGCCTCTTCTTGCTCCTGGCTGCATGCCCTTAGTTCTCCTCTTTACAAGGCAACCTGGAGTATGCTGTTCAAAATATTCCCTGCTGGAGATGTTCTCTGGGGCTCTAATAAGAGGAAGAGACCTTGTTAGAACTTTGTTTGAAGAGAAAGGAGAAGTACTAATTGGTGCCTAGTAGGGGAAGCTTCAGTCTAAGTCCCTACAGGCAATGCCTGCAAAGGTACCCATTAAATACTCCATTCTTGGGTCCTGGCTGGTATCTTAAATTCTCACTCCCCTGTAGGTCATTCAGTGCAGATCTCTGGTGAGTGTTGTCTAAGGGTGGTTGATAATTGTTGCCACTGAGTTGGTTTTGACTCATAGTGACCTTGTATAGGGTTCCCAAGGCTGTAAATCATTATGGGAACAGAAAGCCTCATCTTTCTTCCATGAAGCAATTGGTAGATTCAAACTGCTGACCTTGCGGTTAGCAGCCCAGCTTGTAATCCTCTACACTGCCAGAGTTTCTAAGTTTAGGCCTCCAAAAGGGGGATACATACAGGGTCTGTTCATAAACTAACTTCCCCTTAATCCTCCCAGATCTGGACAATCTGATTGTCTTGGTTGCTTTCTCTATAGACTAGAGAAAATTGGTAATATAGGCAATAGTGTGTATGGTCTTTGCTGTAAGGACACAGGCATGTGTGGAATCAAGTGTGTGAACATTTCTCACCCCAAATCAACAAGCAAACATTTTTCTAGTCCTGCCAGGTCAAAAGTAGACTATTTTAAAGTCAGTTCTTCTTTGAAACTCACAGGACGAGTGATGGGGAAGCATTTATAGAGGTATCTGAACCTTAAATTCTAGATTCTTCTGGTTTTAGTCCTGGTGTTGTACTGTGGGATAAAGCACTGGACTGCAAGGATGGTTTGAACCAAAAGACTAGCAGTTCAAACCCACCAGCCACTCCTCGGAAGCAGGACACTATGGAAGCAACTCAATGACATTTAACAATAATAACAGTCTTCCTTTATTGGAGTCCTGGTGTGGTGCTGTAGGATAAATACTGGACTGCTAACCTCAAGGTTGTGGGTTCAAAACCAACTCTATGGCACTTAACAGCATCTCCCTTTATTATTTCCCTGATAGAGGTAGAGGAGCTGTACTTACAGTGTTAGATATCTTTTGAGCAAAAAAGAAATGAGGAGGAATATCTACTCCGTCCTGAGGGAATAGGGGAATAGTGGGGGCACAAGGTGTAACTGTTTCTTACATTTTTCTGAAGACATCATTACGGCCCACAGGCAGAGTGGAATGGAACTTAAAGATGGGCTGCTTTGAGGGTAATTTGAAGCAAGTGCTTAGGTAATTAGATCCACATTACCTGACTTCTTGCCCCTCCTCCAAACCACACCCTGGGGCTTTTGAAGGAAGCAATGCATTATTGCAAGGGGAGAAGGCACCACTGTTATGGGAGGAAAGGGTATTTTCAGTTTGGTTTCTACAGGTTACTATTACACAACATTCACCAATGGGATGAACGTTTCTGTCCATCTTTTGCCAAATGATGCATTGTCTCTCAGTTTCTGAATTTTCTGTTTTCTTAACCAGGGCTCCGAATGCAACATTTATTTCTGATAATTCAGTGACCACAATACTAAATTCTACTTCTTCTTTATACTACTTACTTCTACTTCTTCTTTTTCACACATTTGATATATAATTTTTACATATTTTATCTCATTTGTTTCTCATGATGATCTTGTGAGGTAAGTTTTAGCATGCTCATTTTTCATGTGAGGAAACTAAGTGGTTAAATGCTTTGTAGGAGATTACACAAGTGACAAATGGCAGAAACAGTTCCTCTAACCACTTTGACTCCTGGGCCAGAGTTTACTCCATGACACCAGAGCTGTAAGGTCCACTCAGGTCTCCCATCCTCACAGAGCTCCTGCTTCCTGCTGTAACCATATAGTTTCCTTAGCAACTGTTTTTGAAAGTATGAAAATGAATTATATGGTTGGCTCTTGGACAGAAAATGACAATTTCCTTTTCTTATTTTAACAGTATTGTTTCTTCTCTTTTGTCATGTACGCAGGCTGACTGCGGATCCTCTCTTTCATGTTCACAGACTTTTTGTTGTTATTGAGGCTCTATGGTCCTGACTCAACAGCACTAAACAACAACAGTAACAAGGTCAACCTTGATGCACCTTTTCTACCTAGAATGTGAATCACTTCCTTTACATGCCAAGCCCTCTAAGACTCTAGGCCCAGGTATCTATATGTCCTTGTATTTGTCTCACACTAGTACTGAAGGGATTGGAGGATTTGGGGGAGTCATGGAATTCTTAAATCATTCGGTATTTGATACTGTTTGATACTTGTGATGACCAATTCTAGTCACAAGGTCCTGGATATTCATCCCTATCCCTGCAGCAGCCACTGCTAACACAGTGACAGAATGATACCATCCTAGATGGGAGTTCGTGCTTCTGACACTAAATAGAGATGCAACCTGGGCAATTTACTTCTTTACAGTTTGTGATATTATTCAGAAGAATACATGTTGAGGATGGGAGTGATTGTATACACTTCTTAGTATGCTAACCAGAAAAGAGGAGCTTGTAGGACCATCTGCCCATTTTCTCTCCTACTCTCAGTAAGATGGTAGTGACTTAGAATTCTTTGTCTTTCACATTATTATTATTACCACAACCTTCTACAGGTCACCACAACTTTAAATTTTGTGCACACCAAAGAGAGGAAGGTGACACAAAAAAAGGAAGTGAAGCCATCATTGAGAAATTGGGTGGAGAAACAAGATGTGCATTTATGAAATGGATGGGGAATGATTCAAGGAAGAGCTTGATCAATGTTGAAGTCACAAGAGACCATGTATTCTGTAAACTTGGCACTCAGGTGAAGTTTGAAGGAATGGGCTGGTCTCATATTAGGGGATTTCCCAGATGTTAGAGATTTCAGTTCATAGGATAAGGTTGAAGGGCCGGCTGAGGTCAGTGTTGATGAGAACAAGCACCAAACCCCTGAACCAAACCTGCTATTAGTGAATCAGTTTCTCCTCATAAGGACTCTATGGAATAGAGTGGAACTGTGCCATGGCTGGAAATCTTTAGGGAAGCAGACTGCCACATCTTTTTCCTACAGAGTCAGTGGTAGATTCAGAACTGCTGACCTTTCAGTTAGTAATTGACCTCTTAACCAGTGCACCACCAGCACTCCTTAGTCAAGCACATGCCTCAGGGATTATGAGCCTGATGTTTTATTTACTAACAGATTCTGGGTATCTTAAATGTGGTTTTGTGACTTGCCCAGTGTCACATGTATAAAAGGATCTCTAATTGGAATTCATTAAACTTCTTACACAATGCATTTTGCAATAGCCTCAGTTGAGTCGCCTCTTCTGCTTTTGAAGATCTTGCAGAAATACTGACTGAACTGAAAATTATTTTCAGCTGTCTTCTGAGAACTGTGGGGAGAATGGTGGTGATGGTGGTGAACATGGCCATTGTTGACTCTAACCTGCATGTTTCTGCAGTAGCCCCTTGGTCTTCTAAGTGAGATAATGACCATGACTCTTCCTAATAATTCTCATCTCTTCCCACATACCTTCTTCTTGGCTGGCATCCCAGGCATGACCACTGTTCACATATGGATCTCACTTCCTTACTGCTTCATGTTTTTCCTTGCAGTGATAGGGAATGGTGTCCTGCTTTTTCTCATTCACACAGAGCACAGTCTTCACCAACCCATGTTTTTCTTTCTTGCCATGCTCTCCTTTGTTGACCTGGTTCTCTCCCTCTTTACTCTGCCCAAGATGCTGGCCATTTTCTGGTTTGATGCTACAGCCATAAGCTTTCATGCCTGTCTTTCCCAGATGTTCTTCATCCATGCATTTTCTGCCATGGAGTCAGGGGTGCTAGTGGCCATGGCCCTTGATCGCTTTGTGGCCATTTGTAACCCTCTGCGCTATGCCACCATTCTAACCCCAGTTGTTGTTGGCAAGATTGGAGGCCTGGTAGTGCTTCGGGGTGTGGGATTGACCATCTCTTTTCCAAGCCTGGCTCAGCGGCTATCCTACTGTGGCTCACACACAATTGCCTATACCTACTGTGAGCATATGGCTGTGGTGAAACTGGCCTGCGGTTCCACTACTGTGGACAACCTCTATGCCTTTGTCGTGGCAATCTTGCTTGGTGTGGGGGATATGGCCTTTATTGCTTACTCCTATGGGCAAATTGTGAGGACTGTGATGAATTTTCCTTCATCTGAGGCACGTGCTAAAGCAAGCAGCACATGTACAGCCCATGTTTGTGTCATCTTCTTCTTCTATGGGCCAGGTTTTCTTTCTGTGATCATGCAGCGGTTTGGTCCACCCACAGCCTCTGCTACCAAGGTCATCTTTGCCAATCTCTACTTGCTCTTTCCCCCCGCACTGGACCCCATTGTCTATGGAGTCAAGACCAAGCAGATACGGGAGAGACTGTTCACAATTTTGAACCTCAATCGGATTGACCCAATTTGACTGTAGCTCCCATGAGCTAGGTGTGGGAGGGGCCAAGGCTGCCATTATCTCCAGGCTGAGAGCCCTGGCTTGGATAGTTAAGGGAGAGCAAATGAAGTTAGCAAATAGTTTCTGAAACCTTGACTGTTTGTATTTTGAAATGAAAAACCAAGGGATACTAGTCATGTCATTTGATCAATCAGCATGCAAAGTTTCTTGCTACCCTTTTCTTCTGAAAGTTTATGGTTTACTTGCATTGACCAGTGTACCAGGTAACTGGGAAACAATTAGGACTTTGACTAACTTAGATTCAGTTGTTGTAGGAGTTCAGGGAAGGGAGAGATAAACTGGATGTCTATTTTGGGCATATGAGCAGACACAGGAAAATTTTCATCATTAGACGTTCACACGGCCAGTCTGTAAAAGTGGATGGGTCCTATCTAAGGTCTTATCTGTCAGCAAACCTTTGACTTTAGAGGCATAGGGGTGGCAAATTATGGAGATCATTTAGATTTTCAAGTTTGTAGGAGAAACTCTTTAAAATATTCATGCTCTGACTTCAGAATTGAAGGTAAATCTGGGTTTTTTCATTCTATTGTAGCTTCTAAATGACATACACGCTAGTCCCTCTGTAATGCTAACCCCTCTGTTATTTCTTCATTTTCAGTCTGAGATATAGAGACTTGAGCTAATCATATTCCTATATTTATCGATGACAATAATAATTCTACTTCTTGTTTTACTTGTCTTCTCTTTATTCCTGACCCTCTTTCCTACTTCCTTTTGAGTTCTCTGCATTGGCATCACTTCAATGTGTTTGTTAAATGTTCTTAAATATTTGTGTGTCTTTGAATACATAACATAAATATTTGTGTTACATATTCTCGGTGTACATAAATGCCATTCTGAATTTCCTCAAGTGTGTCACGCTCCCTCCAGTCATGGGACCTTTGTCTGGACTCTTCCTAATGGGACTAAGTCTCTGTATTTATTTCTACCATTTCCTCTCATCTGGAACCTCACTATGAATTTCAAATCTTGGAGAAGATTTTCAAAACACTTGTTTTTTGATCCCAGAGTACTGTGTATACAGTATTTCTTTCATTATCCATAATTAATTTATAATTATATATATATTTTTTGATAGGGTGACTAATCTTTGTTACTATTTGTTACATGATTGGCTCTCAATACCTCTTTGTGGAATAAATAATTTTCACTATTTGAATGGGCTGTTCCATCATTAGATTATTCCTCATTCCCTACATGTTTTGAATAATGGAATACATTTGTGTAAATCAACCATACACACTCAATACATTTTTTATTGAAGAATTAAATTAGTTGTGACAAAATTACTATTGTCATCACAATCACTATTAACCTTACTCTCTTTATTCCATTGCTGGAGAAAGATGAAGTTTTCTGCACCTGTAAAGATTTACAGACTCAGAAACTCTGTACGGGATCTCTATGAGTTGGAACCGACTCCATGGCACATAACCACCACCACCACCACCACCACAACTTGATTCCATCATCATTACTAGTATCACTTTCAGTTAGTCTTTACAAAGTTAGTAATTTCCAATGGTGGTGTTTTGGACACAGTTAGAGGAAGTGGGGGACATAATCATTATTATAAAGCAGACTCACTGCTGTGGATAGGTGTAAAGCAAACAAGAAGAAAAAGTGTGGTTTTTCTTTTCTTCATATGCTCCCCTTTTCTTTTTGTCATCTTTATTTTCTTCAATATTTAGAATATTTACCAGGCTCTGGTAATATTGGAGTTCTCATGATGGAGATACCAACTTGAAAATAGAGAAATTATGGTAAAATGTAGAAATTAGCTCCAATTCATAATGTCTTGTAGAAAAAAATAGAACTAATTTTCATTGGGAATCCTAGTGTGTCACTTTAAGATAAGCATTGGACTATTAATTGTGAGGTCAATAGTTCAAACCAACCAACCCCTCTATGGAAACTCTACACAGGGTTGCTATGAGTTGGAATGGCACTTAACAATAACAACAACAGTTTTCATTGGGAGCTTGAGGGGCAGAAGAGGGACATGGTGTACTATGAATGATAAGAAGTCCCTGTATGGCATAGAATGATTCACATGCTTGGCTGCAACTCAAAGGCTAACAGTTCAAGACCATCCAAAGATGCCTTGGATAAAGGACCTGGTGATCTATTGAAAACTCTATTGAGCATGGTTCTACTCTGACACACATGGAGTTATCATGAGTTGGTATTGACTTGACAACAATTATTACTGGGCAGATTGTCTGCTTCTATGCTTTTTACACACTGTAGTTTTAAGTGATGATATTTACACTCACTACTATTTATAGAATTACCACAATTATAGACTGAATTAGCTAATTCAGTTAATTACCTTAGTTAATATTTAAAAGATTATGCCAGCATTTGCATTTCTCCTCCCAACCTATTTATCAATACATTACATAGCAAACAAAAGCAAGATTCATAATTTGGTTAGGGTTAAATAAAAACTAACACAACCCATTGTTAAATAGACTACTTGAATAAATATTAAGCTTCTCCAAGGTATGCACCAAAAAAGATTTTTTTAAGTTGAATGGCCAGGGTAATACACATGAGTGAAGTTGTCAGGTGATAAGACAAATGTTGTTGGTAAATGAGTCAGTACCAACTAACAGCCACTCTGTATAGGGTTTCCAAAGAGTTTCTGATGGGTTTGAATCATTTACCTTGTGGTTGGCAGTCCAGTGCTTATCCTACAGAGCCAAACCAGGATTCCATAAGGCATAATGTTGTTGTTGTTAAGTGTCATTGAGTCAGTTCTGACTCCTAGCTGTGTAGGATTTCCAAGGACCAGTTGGTGAGTGAGTTTGAACCGCTGATCTTGTGGTTCAAACTGACTTTGTGGTCTAGTGACTTATCCCACAGTACCATACCAGGTCACCACTTGTCTGTCAGTTTGTCATACTGTGGTGGCTTGTGAGTTGCTGTGATTCTGAAAGCTATGCCAACAGCATTTTAAATACCAGCAGGGTCACCCATGGTGGACAGGTTTCAGATGAGCTTCCAGACGAAGACAGACTAGGAAGAAAGAGTGATGAACTACTTCTGAATATTTAGTCACTGAAAACCTTATGAATGGCAGAGAAACACTGTCAGATATAGTGCCGGAAAATGAGTCCCTCAGGTTGGAAGGCACTCAAATACAACGGGAAGAACTGCCTCCTCAAAGTAGAGTTGATTGTGATGACGCAAATGGAGAAAAGCCCGTGGGAGAAAAGCCTGTGGGGACCTTCATTTGCTGATGGGGCACAACTCAAAATGAAGAGAAACAGCTGTAAACATCCATTGAAAGTTGGAACATGGAATGGACTAAATATGAATCTGGGAAAATTGGAAGTTGTCAAAAATGAAATGGAACGCATAAACATTGATATCTTAAGCATTAGTGAGCTGAAATGGACTGGTAGTAGCTATTTTGAATCTGACAACCACATGGTTTATTATACTGGGAATGACAAATTGAAGAGGAATGGTGTGGCATTCATTGTCAAAATGAACATATCTACATCAGTCATGAGGTACAATGCTGTCTGTGATAGGATAATATCCATGTGCCTACAGGGAAGCCCAGTTAATACCAATATTATTCAAATTTACTCACCAACTACTAAAGTCAGTGAGGATGAAATAGAAGAATTCTACCAACTTCTTCAATCTGAAATCGAACAAACATGCAATCAAGACGTATTGATCATTACTGGTGATTGGAATGTAAAGGTTGGGAGCAAAGAGGAAGGATCAGTAGTTGGAAAATATGGTCTTGGTGATAAAATGATACTGGAGAACGCACGATAGAATTCTGCAAAACCAATGATTTGTTCTTCTTTACACAACATAAGAGATGACTATACACGTGGACCTCACCAGATGGAATACATAGAAATCAAATTGACTACACCTGTGGAAAGAGACGATGGAAAAGCTCCATGTCATCAGTGAAAACAAGGCCAGGGGCAGACTGTGGAACAGACCATCAATTACTCTTATGCAAATTCAAACTGAAGCTGAAGTAAATGAAAACAAGTCCACGAGAGCCAAAATA